TCTCAGTCAGATGTTTCTCCTCCTCTGTTCAGGTCTTCTCCATGTGGAGCCATGATGCAGACATAGACAGACTGTTGGACTGACTGGAAGTTTCAGCCGGACTCGAGTGAGTTTCACAGCTTTGCAAACATGACGTTCTGGTAAATATTTAAACCATTCGAAACAAATTCAGAGTAATTATTTACTAATTTTGGGGTATTTTGAACAAGTTTTGAGACACATTTCAGTCTATTTCGAAACAAATTTTGAGGAATTCTCAAGAAATTTTGAGGAATTTTGGACAAATTCTAACGTATTTCCATCCTTTCCAATTTTTGTGAAGATGTTTCAGTTCCTCTGTTCAACTCTTCTCCATGTGGAGCCACGGTGCAGACATCGACACAGTCCATAGGTCCAAAAGTGATTGGCTGGTCATTTTAGAGCCACGTTCATGCTGTTTGATCGTAAATCACAGGTGGACTCTGCTGCATTGACCTTCTACTTTCAGGCCTGTGCTTTCAAGATGATGTTTGCAATTGATGCATTAGTAGTGCCTGAAACGTTATCATCTCTGACTCCGATTTGTCCAAATCACAGAAGCACACGGTACAAAATGACGTTTGGACGCTTGAACACGAACAAACTCAGTCCACAAAACATGCAGACACATTCAGCACAGCAGCAAACAGGTCCGCTTGTCCTCTGTCGGGAAAGAAAGAAAGAAAGAAAGAAGGAGTTCAATTGTCTCTTGCACTGTGACAGCAACCGACAGTCACCGCACAGACACCAAAAAAAAGTGTTGCCCCATAATCCTTTGCAGCATTGTACTGCAGAGAATCCTTGAATGGAGGAGTGGGGGTGCAGAGGCAGCGAGTGTCTGACACCAGAAATGTAAAATACGACTCATTTGTAGAGGAGGACGAACAAAATATGAACAAAAAGATAACAGAGAAATATCGTCCTCATTCTGCCTCGCGTGTGCATTTGTGGTGAGCTTTTGTTTTGTTTTTTTCCGGACGGACATAAATCGTACGTTTGTCTTTGTAAGGCTGCTTTCATGTCAGACAAGGTTGTGGCTCGTGGACGGGATTTTTTTTGGGGGGGGAGGAGGTGTTGAAACAGGATTATAGGCACGACGTCTCATATCCATAATCCCTCCCCTCGATAAATTATTCATGACAATATTCGCTTCATATTTTACACACAGAGACACACACGGGAGTAAAAATACTTTGGATGGCAGAGAGACAATAAAACAAAAAGACAGAAAAACCAAGAGAGCAGACACAAAGAGAGAACGAAGGTCGCCACGTTTTATACAGAAAAGAGAAAATGTGAATAATAAAAAAAAGAGAAAGAGTGTCGGCAAATAAACATAAACTGGTCGTATTTCCTCTATGACTGCTTGACAGTTAAAAAAACAAAACAAACTTCACATGTTTAAATTTGAACACTTTTAAATAATATTAATTTAGTTTTTTAATTTTTAGAAAAACAAACAAATTTAAAACAATGAAGAAAAATCCTCAGAAATATAAAATGCGCTCCACAGTACAGAGTGTAATGTATAGAGGCACATCCAGTGCAGACGTCTTCAGTGATTTTACGTTCATCGGGATCTGATCAAGTCGAGGCCGTTTTTCGGCATCATGGCCACCAAGTGGGGGGTTAAGCGCTGCGATGGGGGGACGCCTCGTACCGCCGGCCGTCGTTTCTGCTCTCAGCACAAATGCAGCCAAATGTGGGATTTCTGGATCATGAGGGCCCCTGGTTTGCTTCACGTTTTCTTGTATTTCCTGCTAGTTGGTGCAACCCCCCCCCCCCCCCCCCCCCGTCTGTTACCATGGAAACCACAACCTCATTCCCCCCCTTTTTTCCCCTCCTTCCATCACTTTGAAGACATTTCGGTGACCTACATTGCTGCTTCGATGAGCTCTTTATTGGTACCTTACTCCCAGTTCACGTCTCCTGCTGGTCCAACAAGCAGCAACCCCCCCCGTCTGTGGATCGTACCACCTGTCCCGAGGCCTGTTGCACGGCTTAATCTCTGTGGACCGCACCATCTGGGAGTTAATTGGGGAACGCAGCGATCTAACGAGCCACCCGGTAGGAACATATGGGCATTCCTACAGTGGGGAAGACAGACTATTTTTATTCTGGTTTTTAGGAATTCTGGAGATGACGTTTTCTTGTTCGGAGGCAGCATCTGAGACAGCGTCCTCGCTTAACCTTTTGAACTCCAAGCAGTCTCTGGGTAGTTTTTTTTGTTGCTCCTGTCATGTTTTTTACTCACTGTGGGCTCATTTTTCACTGGGATGTAAAGTCCAGCACCTCTATGGAAACAATGCAACCGCGGCTAAAAGCAAAAACATGCTTTTCCTGCAGGATGACAAAGTTACACGGACGGGAATTTATAGAATTGAAAAAACAACAACCTTGAAATCAACGCGTGCCACATTTCTTAAGCGTCCACAGATGCTACCAATACTAAAACTACCGGTGGCTCTACATACTACCGACATTTAGCTGTGCTCTGTGCACCCAGCCCAGGTCAGTCGAAAGGTTTCAGAGCTTTGGTTGTAGCCGAGTCGCTCGTGGCTTCATGATGACGCCAAAGGCTGTGGAATCTTTACATTTTCACAGCTTTTGCTTCCAGCAGATGGATTATTTTTTGGCAAAATTTAAAACAAGACATGGAAAATAAGGCAACTTTTACGAAATGATGCAGGAAATGATGTTTCAGGGCTTTTGTTTTTTTTTTGACGAGCTGGCGACAGCATTATAAATCAGTAATCTGTAAATGAAGTCGGGTGGATTTAGCTCCGTGTTCTGACAAAGATATTCTGGACCACGGACTCGTGACACAAACAGTCAGACTGACTCGGTTGTAGGAACTCTTTGACCTGTGGCCACGAACCATGAACCCCCACAGAAGTCGTTGTCTTGGCGCCCGTTGCTAGCTCGTCAATACCGAATGCTCGTAGTCAGTGATAAACACAAGACACCAGCCAGAATCTAATCTCTCATTAAACAATGAGTAGCTCCTCCTGGTGGCTCAAGCAGGTACTACACAGTACATTTCTTGACCCACTTGTCCTTCATTTTAATTGCTAATGGCAAATAATCAGTAAACAATTATTCCTTAAAATCATAAGAAGTATGAAGGACTTAACAGCTGAAGTGTTTATTTCTTCTTTATTCGTGTTGATCTGCATTTCCAACCAACTAACTCCCTCTTTGTCTCTTCTTCCCAGGAAACAGTGGATTCTATCGTCAATCCTCTGTGAGTTAAATTAACACCAAGGCTCGTCACTGTCCCCTAAAGCAGACCGGACTGCTGCTCTTACACTACATTTCTCTGACTTTTGGTTTCGAGAGACGTACACTGCTCTGGGAATAGACGACACATGGAAGCAGGAGGATGAGTCTTGAATCGGAAACTGATCAAGATTTGGATGCCTGGACCCTTTTTTCACCCAACAGGAATGTCATGGAGTAACATGTGCCAAGTTTGATAGACTACAGGCTCAGATACAGGCCATTAGCTTCCCCTCTCCACGGTGCACCCATCAAGAACAGACTGATTTTGCAGTGCTAAGCTTTGACATGCTTTTTGCTGAGCGCCGCCTTGTGCCGAGGGTTTTCATAAGGAGCTCGTTTGAATGTTTTGCTCCTTCCTCTTGAATGTACGATGGAATGAACCCGTGACGCAAGACGTTTACCTCGACAAACAGCGCACAAAGACGAGTAACTGTACCGAAATATAAAGCCCCTTCCCCTGGCTGCAGAGGGGAGAGAGGGGCGTGTTCGGAGGTTCACCCCCACCAGGCTGCCGCTCGCAGATGGAGGCCCACCAACACTCCCCAGATAGCAGCAGCGAGGAGTGCACCGTCCTGGAGGCTCCGCCCGGCAAAAACGCCTGCCCGCAACATGCAGGGAAGGTAAGAGTGCGACGCAGAGGACGCTCATTATTCTGTTTTCTCCGTCTTTCTTTACGGAAAATCTGTTTGCCAAGCGTGCTGCAGCAAAGCTCACAAAGCAGCCTAGAGTCAAGCAGAAGACTCCTGCAGAGCTGCTGCGACGTGTGCAGGTCTGCTGGGATTCATTTAATGGTGACGTCCGACTTTCTAACTTCAGTGAGGAGAAAATTCCGATTCTGTGTTTGGGACAGACTCACAGCCAAGCAAAGCCTGGACGTCCTCGCCCAAACGAACCGGAGCTTTGTGACAAATTGTTCTAAACTCCATGTTTTTCCACGTCTTCCCTGAATACATTTACTGCACATAAGTACACATTTTAAGTACTTTAGTTGAGTTTAAATCTTTTCATGACATTTTAA